ACAATATTATTATTATTATCTCAGTTGACAAAATTATTTTCAATTTTGCAATAGTACTATTACATTATCTTATTGTGACTAAACAGTTTACTGACCTTTATTGAATGACCTTTCTAATTTGCAAATATTACAATTTTTGAAGTATATATATATCGTAACAGATGCAAACGTTTACCATTTTTAAGACATAACATTGTCAAACTCATTAAAACATGCCTTATTTTTTGCCTTTGTAAAATATTATAATTATGGACTTATAACTGTAGAGCCTGATGATGAAGTTATTGAAAACAATTGTTCGCTCAAATATTCTTCATTTTTGAAAAACTTTTTTGTTGACACTAATCCTTTAAAAACAATCTTTGAGGGATACGGTTGATATAAAATATCGTTATAAAATAAGGAATTAGTTTAATTTCTTTTTAAACGGTTCCATGGTCATGTCAGCTTGATTAATTTAGTTGGAAATATTAAATTTCAGTGTGTGTTTTTTACCATCAAATGTTTACGCATCAATTCTTTAAAATTATATTATAGATAACTAATATTATCTCTTGTAGATGTATTATTTTAATGACAAAATATCAGAAACTAACGCTTTACACTGTTTTCATAATTAATAGTTTTCTAGTGTTTACTAAATTTTGAAAAAGATCCATGACATAGAAAAGTAAAATAACTGATTGTTAAGCAAATGTTTTAATCACAGATTAACTATTAATGAACACTTGAAGTTAGAAGCATTTAAACATACTATAAAACGTTCAAACATTTCTATGGCTATGAACAATATAATACTTACTTGTTAACTATTTAGTGCGAATTTTGAATCTTTGCAACTTTTTCAACTTTCTACATGTAATAACATGAAAATATGTCGTATTTAATTTCATTTTAGCATAAGCTAGATGTTACATTATATATTTTAATTCTAATCAAATATTATTTCTTATCATTTAAGTCCATATCTATAAACTAACTGTGTGGTATGTGCTACTTACATTGACATAAGTAGTATATAACGTGAGTCAGGAATGTAATGTCTGGCAGCAGAAGATTGAGAAGATCAAGAAAGGAAGAACAAGAATAGAAAGCAATTAGTATAGAAATGCAAGAACAATGAAATCCGAGACAATTATTGAACATTTTGCGAATTAGATATTATAGTATGGTTTTTCTATTTTATCAAGTAATATTGTAATGTTGTGTTAAATATAATTCGGTTGTCCTCACTTGTGTTCTCCTTCACTACATTTGGTGTCGCTGCCTCCACTAAGGATGAAGATTCCATGGCCGAAGGAATTCGAGGACAGAGGTGTGGTGGGCTTCCTGAAGGAGTTTGAAGCCGTGGCGTGGCTGGTGGGAGTGAAGGAGCCGTAGGTGAAGATGGTGGTGCTGGGGACGCTGCTTGAGGCAGGGAAAAGGCTGTATATGACAGCTTGGGCAGTGCTGGAGGAGAGACGAAATTAAAGACAGTCACAGAGCTGTTGATGGTTGAGTTCGACAGCCCAGTGTACAGGGAGTAGGCACTGCCGAAGTGTATAAAACAAGTGCTATAATTGGTATCTTAGAAATAGAAAAAGAAATGAATATAATACTATTTTCTTAATCCTATTCATTATAAACATGACCATTAAGAGTAGAAGATACTCGTAAGCTATTAGTATTTGACCACAGATACCTTAGAAATATTTCTGGCGTCTGCTGGGATCACCGGGTAAGTAATAGTGAAGTTAAACTCAGGGTATCAGGGAATGACGGTAAATCAGTTGATGAGGTTGTGAATCTTCGTCGACTGAGATAGTTGGGCCTCGTGTTACGTATGCCTGAACACCGATTACCACGACGTGCAATGCTAACCGGTGTTTAAGGTGGTTGGAAGAAAGTTAGGGGCGGCCAAACCAAAACGTGGCATCAGTGCTTGGAGTCACTACTTTCTAATCTTAGCCATGTTGGTAAATGCAGACTACCTGGTTGGGATCCACGTGACTATCGTAACCAATGGTTGGAAACTCTTGGTGACATGGCTCAGAATCGATCACAATAGAGTCGGTGTATACACTCTCTGTCTTCCCTTAAACTAAGAGATTAAAATCGCTTCATATCTTTCTTTCTACGAACTAATTCTTTCTTCCTGTACTATATCTGTATATGCAATCTTTCTTTTATATATTACCACCTCTGAATTAACTACTTTTATAAATCCGATGTCCATATTGTTGTTTTAATGAGGTATGGCAACTTGGACCGATGCATATATGTGCCTGGTTCTACGTTGTAGTTGACTGACTGACTGATTCATTATAAGCTTTTCTAACAAAAATACATATTATTCCATATTTACATTATCAAAATTTCATAGAATATACTAATTCAGTATAATAAATTGTGTATTAAATAATTATTTATGAATGCCTTTTTCTTATTTGTTCAGTCAACCATTTGTTGTTTGTTTTTCATTGAATAAAAAGAAAATATTTACTGTTTTCTTTCTAAAAATTTCATTTCATAAACAAACTAATTCATTTATTATTTAGTTACCTATTCTTGCTTTAAAATTCATCAATTTCATAAGATTTACGTTGCCATTTATTTAAAATCAACTTGTTTTTTTGGGCATAGATATACAATAAAAAGTGGAGAAATGAAAACAACGATAAATGAAGTAAGAAATCCTTTGCCTGATTTTCTAAATGAGAACAAAAAACAGAATGAGAAAAATTTTTCCAAACACAAGAACGGTAGAAATTGTCTATGCATATCCTGTTTATGACTGTGTCTTGAAGTGTTGATCATCTAATCAAGAAGGATAGAGAATATGTTTTGTAAAAAAAAACGTAAAATCATCATATATAAGGATAGTATAATTTATTGAGGCCAGTTAGGGGTATTCCATTTATGTTATTTATTTATCTAGTTGCCATGGTAATTATTTCAAGGAAAATATTGCCTAAATTAAACATATGAAAACGTCATGCAATAATCGGAATTCCACTCATCTCAGATAGATTTTAGTGAACATAATATTTTTCTTCAGTTTCAAAACTATTATTCATAGTTGTCAATTATATTTTACAAAGCAGCCAATTCTATGTCTTTCGATGCTGAGAATTCAGCTGAACATAGGCTGGGATCTAATTTCAAGAAGGTAGGTGTTAGATAAGTAAAAACCAAACCAGTTAACAAACCTATTGTTGTTACTTGTTGTGACATGGATCTTTAGTTTCAATATCCAGAAGGATAAAATTCATGCAGTTTTTTTCCTTATTATCTTTGTTTTCTCTTATGTACTAATTTATCAAGGGAGACCTATTTTTCTAACTATATAACACTATGTCTAGTTTTTTTAATAATAATATGTCACATCAGTTATATAAATTGTGTATTTTCACCGTATTGTCTAGGTTTATCAAAAGTATAATCTGTTTTAACGTTCTTAAACTAAATATTTTATGATAGACATACCTTTATTATTTATGGAACATTCACTTCATTTATTTAAAATTTTATTTCACATCATTATCAGGAAGAGTTTGAGTTTTTCGGTTCGTTAAATTAAGCAATTCGTACATCCTGGGCAGATTTACTTGATATGAATGTTAACACTGAGGACCAGTCCTAAATCGGATCAAACGATAAACCTGATACCCACCGTTAGCCATAGTCGATCCATTGTAAATAAAATCGCACTTAGTTTTCATTTTGATTTTTTCATAGGGTTCTCGAACAATTTTCTTTCCTTTTAAATAATTACAAAGTGACCATGCACAATAAATTAATTGTTTCGTTACAATTATAGCGTTCAAAGTTTTGATTAATTGAAAATGATAATATCGATTAAATTAAACAAGATTTCAAATACGTATTTTTACTCATTCTACAGAGTTGTTTAAAACAAATGTGACTATTCTAAATTTTATTTTTCATCATTCATAATTAAACTTAGTAATAAATATATTCTTTGTTAGATCCGAATGAGTAGAGATATTGTGTTTCCTAGTTTTCGTGACTTAACATAAGCTACTTCCTCAAAGTAAGTAAATTATTGAATTTAATCAACACAAGTTTAAATGGTACAAATGAAACAATACATAATGTATTTCGTACAATCGAAATTCGGTTGTTTATCTACTCTGAAGAAGTAGCTTACATAAAGTCGCGAAATGTCACAAATGCATCTTCTCCACCTATTGAGATATAACAAAATATAAATTTATTATTAACTTTCTACCCAATGTCAATTTATTTGAAACCATCAAGTTTAACATTGGTATTGATACCTATAGTTAAACAAAATTTAAATAACTGTTATCAATCATGAAATATAGTATCACTAACTGATTTTTACAACCTTATTTATTCAATCATTCCAAATGTTTCATATAAATAATTCTATCCATTCATTACATCAAGTACAACAAACACATTGGGATCACATGAATTCATTTCATTTGTTGTGTTTTAAATCTTCCATAGACCCTTTTAATTTGTAACACTTTAAACAAAAAACGTTTTATAAATATAATTGACTGTACAATATGGATCAATTCATTTAGTTTACTAATGGAAGACCATTATAATTTCTTTTTATACATAATTCTTATATATGAATTAAATGTGTTTAAAATATATAAAGCATTTAGTGTTAGAATTCACTGCTGAACTAAATCAATTCATCCATGTTACACAAGAAAAAATAACATTTAGGAAATATTCTATTTATTTATTGATAACAATCAATCTAGATCTGAAAGATTTAAACAAAATGATATGATGAATGTAATTTTCTGTTTTTTTACACCATTCATCGTGTTATTATCTTGTTATTCAAAATGTTTCCATTGTCTCCGTATATATTAAGCATTGATTTGCCTTATATTTTAATATCCAAGTCAGTATACATGATTATTAATAATTGTTTTATTGTTTCCTTCTTGAATAGAATAATGTTTCAATAATCCTTATATTTATTTGTTTTTGTTTTTCAAAATATCTTACAGGTACGATGAATTTATTCAAAAATATCTTATCATACAATTTCAAAATCAGGTGCCTTTAAATCTATTACAAGAAATTTATGAATCTATTAAGATTCATAATCAATCTGGTGAATGTTCATTAAAATGTTTTCATAGTACAATGTTTACTGAACATCAACCAGATAATGTTATTCAAAAGTAAGTATCAAATATAGTGAGATTGTGTTGTGTTTACTTTTAAAGTGTACACTTTTTTCAGTCATTCATTGTTTTTTTATTCAAAGAATAAGAAATAATTCTGCTATGTTTGTAGCGATTATGAGCTCACATAGGGATCTAACCTCCTCAACAGATCCTAATTGACTAACTAAAGTTTTCGATTACAGAGCTTTATTATTGTATAAAGTTGAAATTTTGCTTTATTTAATAGTATATGAACAAATGTTGTAGATTGTTCTGGTATTATAAACGATAGTATTTATTATTATAAACCTACAAACTGTACAGTATTTCTTATAACATCTCTAAGGTTTCTACGTACAAATAAATACATTTAAATAAAAAATGCTGATAACATAGTGTATATTCAGGATTTATTCCAAGAGTAGTTATTAAGGACCTGTATTTTGTGTAGGGACTATTAATGCTATCTAGTTTACACATTTTATTCTATTTGGAATGCATTTGCATTCAAGTTATATCTCCACTAAACCTTGAAACATATTACGTATCAACTTATCCATTGGAATATTATTCGCTATACTATTGAATTACGATAGCTCTCAAAAATTTCATATATATATATATATATATATATATATATATATATATATATATATATATATATATATATATATATATATATATAAGTTTTGCTAAATATAAGATTATTTTCTTCATGGTTATCATTGAGAACTAAACTATATATCTACTGAGTTGGAGTCTATTTTATATTTAACTTCTTATAATGGCACTCATAATCCGGTTACTTCATAAATACTGGTTCGTTTTATTCCAGTCTGACAAATAACTTTTCTCTTTGCCAGTAACACATTAATGTTAACAATGGCCTAAATCCAATTTATTTGATCAGCTTATTCTAACCAAAATAGCTATTCAAAATATGAGCATAGTAAACAAATAAACGTTCTGTTATTCTCTATTGTTTACTAACAGGAACTACATACAATGATTACAAATCCGCATCACAGAACAAAAATAGAAATCATGATTTGTAAATAACTAAGATATAAGTGATAAAAGAATCATCAGGTTAATAATTAATTATCGATAATTCTGAAACGGTAAAGTAGATAATAGTAATGTTTGAATCAAATAAAAGCATATCAGAAAATTATAATTCAAGTATTTATCAGTTACACAATAAAAATGTAACAATTCTCCCTAGAACATTTCTGAAAATTTCACCTTCTCTGAATATCTGCTTCAGTCTAATAGAGTCTCAGTCTGAAAACCAACAAAAATACAAATACAGCTGGATGATAAATCCCAAGTATGACGACAAATACAATCTGTATTCCATTTAAAATATAATTCTTTTATACATCCAAACAATACAAAGCTAATTCAACAAGGAATTAGAAATCTTCACTGATGATATTAACAATAATACACTGTAAATTTTCTATACATTTATCAAATACTAGTGTAAATCTTAAACTAAACTGAATTCACATCCATTATTCATTGTGTTTTCATTTATTTCAAATAGACATTTAAATAGAATTATCATAGGATTTATGAGTAAATTAGTTTGCTTGTTTTTTTTCTTTAAAGAAATCTAAATATAAGCGTCAATATTTTTTTTTAAAAAAAAAGCACAACTGTTTTAAAATGAAATTAGATTGTTGCCAAAAGAAAAATGAAGCAAGAGAATGAATGTCTTGTCAGGAATTTATGTTTAAAAAGAAAAAGAAAACAATGTTTAATTTACTGGGAAAATATTCCTTTCCTTCTCTCACTATTAAAACGATAATAATAATCATAATAATCATAATAATAATAATAATAATAATAATAAGCGAATCCGTAGCCTAAAAATAATTTAGAAAGATAAGAAAAACAGAAATGATATTGAGAGAATAGATAGAATATTGATAAAACTGTCAATTAGAATATGCAATTGTTTTTTTTTCACTTTCATCTCTATTGTGATAGATAGAAATTTTTAACAAATTATAAAAGCTAATAAATGGTTTATTATAAAGCTTAATTTTATTTTATTGTTATATCATCATTTCGTTGAAATGTTATATTCTTTATTTATAACATCAATATATAGATATAGTCTAATCTTATTCATGAACTGTTTCGTTACATTCTGTTTTCAAAATAAAAGAATTCTATTTACGTTAAGATAAATGAATCAATTATGAAACGAACGGATAATTGAGTGAGAAAGTTAACTAACTCTACTGAATCCTTTCTATTTTTTAGAATAATAGTTATTTATTTAGTAGCAGTTATTTATTGGTTTCAAAGTTGATTGTATACCTAATTGACATGAGTCGGTGAAACAGATGGAGACTATGAGATGTTGAAATGTTGTATTTACCTTAAATTAGGACTATTCGGTGAATACGTTACCTTAAATTTACAGAAACGGATATCTATAATAATCTAGTTTTTTACAATCAGTAAGATACTTTTTATATAATGAATTAGATTTCAGTATATTATATTATCAACATTGATCAATTATTGTTAAAAAATGATGAACATCCGGTCATCATTGGTATAACATTATTGTTGTTGAATTTGCATCGATAATTAAATGGGAATTAACTGGAAGATTTTCATTCTACTAACTCATTTAGTTTATATAGTGAGTTTCAGTCATTTATTTTGGCACGTTAAGTGAATAGTTTTGTGAAAACGGATGGACATATACTAAAATTGATTGTTAATATCCTTATTGGATACAGTTTTGTCATTACGGTTTTAGAAACAGTAATTGAAACAAACCAATTAGTCCCATTTATAAATTTTCATAAAACAATGAGAAAAGGATTTTGATCTGGGAAATATGATGTATCTGCGCACTAGGTTTCAAGCAATCTTTCAATCAGGGATAATTGAACATGTTCATAGATGGCTTCATAACAATTTATTGTCTAATTCTCCGGAAGTAGACAAGCATGTTGATTGATACCGAAACAAATAATTGAAGCGGGTGTAAGATTGACGTTAATACAGCTATTAAAGCGTTAAACAGGAAGTGTCAGGAAAAAATCCTAAGGTTTGTAGATGCCGTGGCTACTCACAAATCCTCATCGAATCTGTCGTAATAATGTTTAAGTCCTTTCACGGCCTATGTTAGTGTGAAAATTACCAATTGTTCCCATATCATTTTAATTTTTTTCTCTCACTCAGTTATCGCTATGTTTACTTTGACTTTCATTTGACTGACCTTCATTAGCTTTCGTACAAAATACATTGACAAGTATGTATGATCAAATATTTTAGACTGAAACCGTCTTCCTACTGTCCTGTCAAAATAGTAAATTATTTAGAAACTTTATTCTCAAACTACTTATTCTATGAGAAAATAATTATTTTACTTTTATCGATATATGATATTATCAGTCATATTCATTTCAAGTCCAGCGTGTTTAAACACAAAGTTTCCTTAGTTTAGCATTTTTTAAACACTTGGTAGAATTTACATCATAATAAGGAGTCTACTTCATGTTAAAAATGGTAGACTACACACATTGCAGACGGTACTTACGCTTGTCACCCCTCGTAGAGGAGCATAGGCCGACCACCAGCATTTTCCATCCAACTCTGTCCCGGACAATCCTTTCCAGTTGTTTCTAGTCTCTATTCATCCTTATTATGTCTGCTTTCACTTCTCGGTGCAATGTGTTCTTCGGTCTTTTTTTCGCCTTCCTTCAAGATTCCAGGTTAGAGCTTGCAGAAAGTAGTAAAGTCATAAACTAAATTTCCCTAGTTTTGATTAAAATTTCATGAAGTTAGTCAATTATCTTGTTATAGAATTTCTTGTGTTGATTGCTCTGTGATTAACTACCATTTTGACAGAAATATTTAAAGCACAACAATAAAACAAATTTAATCACGTGCTAATTATCATTACTATGTGAATAGTGGGATACAATTGTTAGAAATAGTTCCTTGTAAAACATCTGCTAATCTCAAGTGTTCCGGATACGACCAATTGAACTTAACCAAATGCTCATAAAAAGTATCTGAATTTTATTTAGGAATAGTGAGGTTGTAATTGTTGTACACTTTAATATTTACGACAAATAGCTCTAATCAAGAAAATAATAATTAACAACGAATGATTATTAGACGTCTATTTCTGCTTAATATGAAACCAATGACGTTTAACTGTGAACGAGATGATCTCGAATCCAGTCAAAAGAATGACGATAGTTATCACTTCCCAGTTGGCCACACCAAAGAAACTTATTTATTCTTTGGGCACCTCAAAAGAAAACGGTTAAGGATGGTCTTGGTAATCTGAGAGCATGACCGCAATGCCCGATTGACAACTGTTTGAGGCCAGTCATAAACGAGCTTCCTATTAGTAATTTTAAATGTAATAGCTTAACACTTTAAGGGTACTACCACTGACACCTGGTATCTATCTGACCGGATCACGTGTGCTAATTTTGGAGCCAACACTTTCCAAATCCTTCTTTTGTTAGTGATCGTGTAGCGGTTCGCATCTTGTCAGAAGGTACTCCGTGTACTAGATGAGCATGCTATGAAGCGTGGGTTAGGAGAGCTGATAAAGAGAAAAACTAAGAAAATATGAACCAACAACGCAGCAAGCGCACAAAATGCATTCACGTTGAATAACGAAAGCAATTAACAACAATAAGTAATAACACAAACATCAGACCAAGATAACCTGAAGTTTCTAACCCGCTACATAGCTACCCCTTATTCAACGAGCACTGTCCCAGTGCTAAATAATATCACACACTTTGCATCCTGGCAAGCTCGCCACTTTAGCGCAGCCCGTGATCTGGCTCTAATTTGAACGTATAAATGAACATGTCGTGGGTGGAAATTTTCGGGTTGACTCCGCTTATTATATTTAGGCTGACTCCGTTTGAGCGACGGTGTTAGTAAAAAGAACAATAAGCATTAAGTTAGGTGAATTTATTTCATGCAGTCGTCTACTCAGACAGGCGTTAAGATGGGAAGCAAAACGAAACGAAGAAAGTAAGCGTACCAACTTGATTTGATAAAGACTCACACTCTGGTTATAATCAGACAAAAAAATAAGTTGAAAATATGTGATGAATACACTAAGCGATATACACACAGGCTTATATAAAGGTAACCAGGTGATAATACGTGAGGATACTGAAATAATAAATTAATTATTCTATTCGAAAGTCAGACTAATCCATTTAGGTGTGACATAGGACTAGACGGTATAAAAGTACAGCAGTGTTTGATCCGTCGAGGTCGTACCAATCAGTTCATATTCCTAATTCCAACCAGTGTTAATGAATAAACACCATCTGCCTGTTCCGTTTGAAACATGACTGAACTCTCATCTAGCTTTTAGTGGATGTCCAGCTGAATTCATTTGATGACATAAAGTGACTTCTGATAGTCTCTTTTGAAATCATAATCAAAGTTTTAAGATTTCTACTTTGTTAAAAGAATCGAGTGGACTAGGATTACTATTATCATTTAGATGCATAATATCTTGTTAAATTGTATAATTCAAAATCAAAGAAAAAATTTATTTTTATTTATATGTCTCTTAGCAATCGACCTACATTTAAAGTGTTGTTAATGTTATATTTTGAACAAAATCCTCATTTAAACAAATGAAAACAGCTGAGAGTTTAACTCCAAACCAAGTTTCATCCTGGTTGAACACTAACTACATAGATATAAATTAGTAAATTACACCTAATGAATTCAGTGACACTCTGCTTGGCATAAACGACCAGATGTACTTGGTAGCAGGATCCCGTAACCTCGTGAACTTAACTGCCAAAAGAATACTTATCTGTAATACTACAATGTTCAATGATTTTCAGTAATTCAACGGTTTGCACATAAATGTCTATGTATTAAATCACTTAACTTTCTTATTTTTTTATTTACTTAGACCAGAAACTGAAAAGTTCTCCTCATCGTTATCATCATTATTAACGGATACAAAGCAGTTGAAGAGTAAATTGAATTCTGGATCTGCAGGAGTTGACTTTATTCAATCCACAATGGTATTTATGTCAACTGCCATGAAAAATACTGTGAATAAACATTTACCTAAAGAACCGAAAGATAAAATTGCATCTTTTGCAGCTGATGTTTGTTCTAATCTACGTTTACCATTCCGTAGTCAAACAACAAATAATCTCAATAACTGCAGTAAAATCACATCATCATCGTCATCAACTACTAATGATAATAATAATACTACTACTACTATAACCGTAGCAAAATCATCAACTATGAAAGATAAACAAGAATCTCTCAACGAATACTCCATGGAAAATCAATAATACCTCTTAGCATATGGAGTTCTATTCCTATTTTGGTTGTGTTATTTTTCTTGTCAATAATGTCTTTTTTTTCCAGTTTACACATTTAATAAATGAATTATTTTAATCAACTAACATGTTAATAAAGATTCATTATAAACTTTACAAAACATTTATTTAGAATATCTTATTTCATTTATCATTTATACTCTTATAAGAGTTTGTAAAAAAAATTCTTATTTTTTCTAATATTTCTCTTTATTTAATTCTTCTATCCTATTGTGAATAGATAACAAAGAATACATACATATATATCAATGGAATATTAATAGAATACTAATATAAGTAAAGTTGATGATAACCTTTTTCTTTCTCTTTGCAAACTTCTTCATTACTTCACTACATTGGATCTTAGTGATGATATTTGTCTTATTTTCTAATCTTTCATAATTTGTTTTCTCTTTCTTTTTCTCTTTTTTTTTTTACTGTTCTACCTATGAACTTTAAAATATGTCTTATACAAAGTTGGAAAAACAACATAAAAATGATACGATATCACAGTTTATTCATTATTTAACATCGTAAAGAAGAAAGTAATTCAATATTAATTGACACATTCACATTTGTATAGTTAATGACATTGAATTGGCAATTAAAAATCATAATCATTTACTATTAAGATATTTATGATGCAATTAAGATTATAATTTATTTTATTTTAATAATTTGTAGTTGATTAATTACTTGAAATCTCATATAAATAAAACATTATAATGATGATTTGGTTCAGTGTTATTTTCTTTTCTTTAAAATACTTAGAATAAGCCAAATATTTGAATTATCTGGAAATATATGGTTATCATATTGACTGACTGTTGATTCTAATTAGATTGTATTTATCAAGTTGAATCACTTACTGTTTCACTCATAGTACAGATCTGTTATCATAAGGATTGTTAAAAAAGTATGTAAATCTTATCAAAACTCTTTACTTTCAAAATGTTGATGTAGCTTGTGTAAACAGTCAAAGATCATCTGAATTGATAGCTTCCTAATTGGTTAAATTTTCATTTAACTTTATAATAAATGTTCTCTTAGAGATGGACTATTCTTCTTCTGAACGTTTAGATGTTGCTCATTGAACAGATGAATTCATTTATTGACTTATACTGCTAAATCAACACAATATTGTCCAATTAGGACACTGATAAAAATTCAGTATCTTCGAAATCTCTTAAGTAACAATGTATTAATGTTTGAAATATGATTCTTAAAGTTTTGTCACATGGCTGGTCTAGATCACTGCTTAGTTTGATCTTAACGATAGAACATACTGAAGACTCTGATCTCTTCACTTATCTTGGATGTCTACCAAAATTTACTAGTTATAACTTCTCACTCACGATCAGATAATTGTTGACAGGTTTGGGTTTTTGTTGCATGTTTGCGCAACCTAATACAAGCGAAGTGGAATTCGAAGTCCTTATTTCATTTTTTTCAAATAATATGCTCCTATAGGTATTGTCATACATATTTGTATTTATAGATTATATATAAAGTCATGTTTGGAGTTAAAAGACGGTAACATTCTTTAAATATATATTCTGCATCGCCTCTTACCAAATAAATCAATTTACATGTATCAATCAAACGAAATGAATAAAAGTCCTACGACATAGGTTATAAATTAGAATATTTATCAATTTTATTTGTTCATTCGATAAACCCAATACATCAGGTACATGCTTTGGAATACTTGAATAAATTCAACAAATAAGAACCAATCATTGACCTTAAACCTATATTTATAAACTCCTCAATTGTTCATTGGGATCAAATTCTTATTTTACAGTAAACTTTATTTCTCTGGTGAGCGGCCTATGCTCCTTCACGAAGATTAACAGGAATATGTAAGTAAACTTTATTTCTAATGTAGTAAAATAACTGCCTACTATTTCACATAAGTTTTCTCACAGTTTTCATCAGTTAGCATATACTCTAAATGTACAATATATGTATCATGTGATATTCTCATCTCTTACGTCATACCCATCATTTTTCATGTGATCACTTGACAAAGTAACTTGTATGAATGAAAGAACAGATCATTTCTTATCAAGTTAATTTTTAATTCCTTAAAATTTTGTTTATACCATATCATTACTCAATTATTTATTTATTTTGCTTTACGATTTAATTTCCATGATCGAATTGGATTACGTTTAAAATATTCTTGTTACCTTGACAACTGAACACTATGTGTTGAGAAAAAATAATAAATAAGACCATAGCCGAATGAAGTGGATTCGTTCTTCTTTACGTGTATTTTTTGTCGGTATTATTTATTTTTTTTAAGGCATTTAGGAAGAAATACATATACATATATATATACATACATAAAGGAGTTTTATTACTATTCATTGTTTTATATGTAAATTAATAAATCAATTGATTTCGGTTAATTTTGTCAAAAGTTAAAATAGCCGTCAAGTGAAGTATAAATTTTCAACTTAAAAAACAAAACAAAAATAACTAATATCAAAAAGAGCGCTTAAATTCAATCGTCATTTCTTTCATAGTCTAGTTTCTATTACTTTAATCATGTTTTCATTGAAGTGAACTAATATTTCAGTAATTTACTTGAATAAGATTCTACTTAAATATATAAATGAATAAATTACTTTAGTCGCTTTATAATTACATTGTTGAGAAGTTAAACGATTCATGAATTGGATGATGAAACACATTTAAACAAATTATACATTAGAAATGTTATTAATATAGTGTGCAATGAATGTAAAAGCCGACTTTTCTGAAAAATTGTTCGCAACATCTATAAAAAGAATGCTTATACTGATGAATGCGGCAAGATATTGTTTGCTTTACATACAAAACACTAGGAAAGAAGATTAATTCTAATAAAAACATTCAAATTTAATTAGTATTCTTATGTGCAGTAGATATTAGGTTTGAGGATAATTTTCAAAGTCCCAGTGAATAATCGTATTCAACTGACTAGATTTGAAAATATAAACTACACTTTTAAAGGGAAAATGTTTGTTGCGAGAGCTTTGATAAGATTTACATACTTCTTTAACAATCCTTACAACAACAGACCTACATTATAAGTGAAACAGACATTGATTCAATTGAACTTGTGAAATTCAAACAACAGCTGAAGGAAAACTTTAAGATTCAGTGAATTGATCTTGTCTTGGAAATCTTATTCCTTTTGCTATATTTAAACTTATCAAGTAACAAGATGTATGAGATCACATTATATGGTTATCATTATTATCTTTCTATCATCTATTGTATATTCTAAGTAATCTATGAAATGCTATGAAGTGAAAAGTTACCTAAAATATGAGGATAGTAATCAATTCAACCAACAACAACAACAACAAAAACTCGGAATTATGCTCACAAATTTAAATAGCCTGAAACTACACATTCAATTTTCAAGTGAAGTAAAAGAATAACTAAATACAAACTAAATTTCCTATCCTGCATCCTAATAATTCATCTTGGACATATATATATATATATATATATATATATATATATATATATATATATATATATATATATATATATATATATATTGCACGGATTATATTATTTTCGGCATAAATTTATTAGACATAATTTACTTAATTCGTTTATTTTGTTTTATTTACTCATTTAACTTGATAATCATATATTTATTGACAAACACAACAAAACACACTACACATCTTACTTCCTTTAACTATACTTACTCATATGAAATAATCTATTTTGAATACTCTCCATTCAAATGATCAAAATTGATAAACAATTTTCTTTAGTTTGTGTTTTGATTTGGAATTTTTAGTTCTTATCTGTTTTGTTTTAATTTTAAGTAAATTTAATTTCATATTATTAAAAAAAGGTTTTTATTTGCAACTCAATTAACTTTAATAAGTTTTAAGAATAATCTGATTTGAATAATCTTTACTAATTTATTCATCCATCTATTTAGTAATCTAAGATTTTGTTTAAATATTTTGTTAACATTATATTATGTTATATCTAGAGATTAGATTTTTGGTTATAAAGCGTACAACTTGAGTAAATGAATACTTGAACCCTTCAAGTCACAAGTTAAAAGACAAAATAATAATGAGAAAGTATCTTATTCCAAATAACTGATGGGATGGGATATTTTTGGATTTTTCAAAGTTTCCTCAAGTTCACCCAGGAGCCATCCTTATAATACCTATCAACGAAAATTTCTTAACAGAAATTTATAAAACTTAATATTATTTTTGCATATTTATCGCTTTATTTGACTACTCCATTTAAAATTGCAACTTGATCAATTATGCTGACATAAATGATAAGGCAGAAGAGTATTTTGTTATCCAATTTTTTTTCTAGTTTAGATGGACTCGTTAATCAAACTTTAAAAATATACTACAACCTCCACAAATCCCCATTTTGTGCTCGCCAGAGTAGAGTTAGTAGGTTCAGTCCGTGTCGGGTAGACAGTTATCCACCTTAAACAACTTATGAGCGGTTACACAAGATCATGAATCGATTGAAGTTAGACATTGACACAGTTGGATATTGGATCAGTGGTCTAGAGGTTAGGTGTTCACTCGTGAGATCGAGGGTCCAGGATTCGATTCTTGTATGTAGGATCGTGGATGTGCACTGCTGAAGAGTCCTGAACTTGGACGAAATGGTCATTCAGTGCCTTCGGGTTTTCAATGTTGATCTAGCTAATACCGACTAATGAATTCAACTTCGAGATTACTACAAACTCCACAAATCCCCATACTATCAATACAAACTTATATTTTCATTGATGAAGTTCCAGTTTGATTTTTGAGGAGAAAGATTTTTTATTTCCTAGTTTAAGTTCATATTCATGTGTATTTTATTAATTCCAGAACACATGGTTACGAAATAAAGTGACATATAATTTCTAGCATTGATCAATATTCTTTATTGTAACTAAGTAATGGAAATATTATTATTACCCATAACAATGATATGTCGTTAAACTGATTTTTTAAAACGTTATAACAACCGAACATTTTATATTCTCTAAATATGTATCTGAAAGTTGATTTTTTATCACTGGTCGACATTATATAATAACTCATTGAAAAATCATAACCAATAAACGAATGTCCCGTTTTGAGTTTGAGATAGTTCAGCGGTCGGTAGCCAACTTGTGAACAGATGAAATCTACATTTTAATATTTTAGGGATTAATATTGTTTATAGTCTGAATAAACTAGTTCACATGATTTACTTAAGGTATTTTGGGGTCTTACTTACTTGTGTCTGTTACTCCTCATTGAAGAGCATAAACCGATCACCAGAGATTTCTACCGAACTCTGTCGTGGACAATCGTTTCTACTTGTTTCTAGTTGCTATTTATCTTTTTCATATCTGCTTCCAACTCCCAACGTAGTGTGTTCTTTGGTCTTCTTTTTTGTTTCCCCTCAAGATCCCAAGTTAGCGTTTGCCTTGTAATGCAGGTTGATGATTACCTCACTACATGTCCTACCCACCTTCGACGTCTTTTCCTAATTTCCTCCTCAGCTGAAAGCTGGTTTGTTCTCTCCCACAGTAGGCTATTGCTGATGGTTTCTGATCAACGGATATTGAGTATATTACGTAGACAACTGTTTAGAAATACTTGTATTTCAGCTCCGTATAGTATAACTGTCTTGACGTTCGTGTTGAAGACTTCAATATTAATGTTGGCTGGTAGTTCTTTTGAGTTCCGTATACTATTCAACT